AGCAACACCTGGTGTTTACTTTTCGTGGTGCGATTTGGGCGCTGCTACCTGTGTGGTGCAATCTACGTGGTGCAACCTGTGACGTGCGACCTGCGTGCTGCAAAATATGTCGTGCAATTAACTGGCTTTCTGCAGCGTCTGTTGTGCTATATATATATATATATGGAGCAATGTTTGCGGGGACATGTGCGTGGTGCATTATATGTGGTGCAGCCCGCGTGGTGCATTACATGTTCTGCAACCTACGTGGTGCAATCCATGTGGTGCAACCGCCGTGGTGCAACGTATGTGGTGCAATAGTTGCGGGGCAACCCGTGCGGTACAACCTATGTGGTGCATTCGATGTGGTGCGGCGTGTGTTGTGCAATCCCTGTGGCGCCATCCACGTGGTGGATTATATGTGGCGCAACCAACGTGGTGCAGTCCACGTGGTGCAATCTATGTGGCACAATCTACGCAGTGTCATCTACCCTGCCAGAATTAAAATTGACGACTGGCCCGCTCACGCAATCATCCCGCCCGCCCACCCGCAACTTGGTGTGCAACAGACACATTCGGCGACGATTGCGATGGCTGCTTGGCGCTGTCTGGCGCCTCGCTGCGGCCGCGCTAGCGCGCGCAGGTTTCGCGCGCGGAGCGGCCAGCTAGTCTGGCGCGACGGGCGCAGCCGCGATGGTGCTGACTGCTGGGGACTTCCCAACGCGTGTCGGAGGCCGCGCTGACGCGCGGGCACTTCAGTGCGAGTCGGTGACTCGGGCGGGCGCGGTATCGTGGCGACGTCGACAACGGCAGACACGATGACGATTGTCGCGAAGGTGGTGGCGACGGTGACGAGGACGACGGCAGAGCCAATGACGGCGCCGACGCTGGCCACGCTGATGCCGATGATGGTATCCACGCGTCAGTGATGAAGCGTTCAGGCGGATTTCGACATGTGCTCGCGGCCGATGGGTGCGAGTGGCACGCGTGGAATTAGTTGACAGGGATCGTGCCCCCCAGCACGCGCGCAACGGCGTTCAAATGATTTCGGCATGCGCGCGAGAGGCCCGTTGGGTCGCATTTGGTGCACGCATTGAAAACCGATGGTTTCCGCCAAGACCTCGCGAGAGCGCGCGCGCAGACTTGTTCTTGCACGGTCATGTTGCAAACCTATGTATAGTTTCCTGCTTAGGGGCAGATGATTGTGAATTCTTTGTGCCATCTACGGATTTCGAATAATTTTGGCATGCGCGCGCTACTACACGCGCTTTGGCATTTCGCAGAGCTTTTGCACGGGAATTCTGCACATTGATGACTTGTGATAGACGAATGTGTGCGCATAGTCTTTCTCAAATGGATGGCGGGGGAATGGATATCGGGTTGATTGGAATGGTATGAGTTCAGATTTAGAGTGAACGCTGGTGCAGAACCACATGCACATTTCACCTGGGGCGAACGGTTACTCCCACCGCCCGGAATGTGGTAGACCCCGATTTTTTCCAGAACGGGGGATCTATGTGAAATGGAGACGGGGCGGCGACGGCGAGCACGGAACCACCAGACCGACAATCATTGTCGGTCTAGCGGCTCCGTGCTCGCTGTCGTCTGGGCGGCGACAGCGGCGACAAGGCGGCGACGGCGAACACGGAACCGCCAAACCGACAACCCCCGCCCGAACGACGGGCGGCGATGAGGTGGCGACAGGGCGGCGGCGGCGAGCATGGCGCCGCTAGACCGACAATCCCGCCCAGACGACGGGCGGCAACGAGGCGGCGACGGGGCGTCGACGGCGAGCACGGAGCTGCCAGACCAACACCCACCCCAGTTCCAGTGCAGTTGAACACAAGTAAGAAAGACGTCAAGACAAGCACTGTTTGGGGAATGGTAAAAAGCATAGAATCGACAAGCCGAAATGACTTTTGAAAACTTTCGCTTCTCGCATGCTCTTTGCGGAACATCTCTGGGCCTCTCCAAAACATAGTATGGCAATCATGGAACCGTGTGGGCGTCGAAAGACCCACTTTGGAGTGCCGTGAACTCGCCAGGGTGTTTCATGCGGAGCGCTGCGTCTTGCGAGCCGCTTGGGGCATCCTTGAAGTGCTATGGGCAGGAATCGAGGGCCCAGGAACTTGCACATTGCGCTCATGTTTTGCACGCGCTTCGTCCAGAAATGTAGCACAGATAGCCTTGGGCTCCGACATTGCATCCCGCAACTCGCTGAGCAGCTGTCGACTTTGGGCTCCATATTCGCAATCAACATCTCGCTGAGCAGCGGCATGCCCGCGTTTGCTGCTCCCCTCTGTCACACGTGCTGATCTCAGCGCTGTGGCCAACCAAGTCAGATGCATGGAATGGTTTCCGTTGCGGCTTCCTGCGCGAATGCCGCCGAGAAACGCAACATACGGATGTTCGCCGACGCAATCACAGCGGTTGCCCACCAGGTTCCCACACGCAGAGTGCTTCGCAAGACACTCGAAAACGCGAAAGACCTATTCCAAGACAGCCCGGGAACCCTGCCGAGTTGCGAGACGACCTCTCATACGCTGTAATGCCCAAATGGTAACCGATGTCGTTCGTCTCCAAATTGCACTCCCGCATCTCGCTGAGCAACGACAACGCATGCCGCCACTGGCCGCATCTCTCACAAGCGCAGATCGCAGAGTTGTAGCTGACTGCGGCTGTTCCGTCCACGACAGCCGACTCGCGCGCAGGGGTGAACACCGCTTGCCTGCTGTCCTGCTTGCGCGGCAGCATGCGCGCATGCTTTGTTTCCGCCTGTCGGCCAAGCAACCTTCTGCTCAGCGGTCTTGCGTGCATGCTGGCCAGCGTCCCTACTGCAATGCCTGCTGGCTTGCCTGTGTGCTTGCTTCGCCGCCTGCTCGCTGGCAGCCAAGATCACGGGGCATTTCGGCCACACCCGCGGAGGGCTCGTGCCAGGTCGACGCGCCGAGGAGGCTGGTTTCTTTTGTTGGGGGGAGGGGGGGGCACCGCCTCGGCGGGTGGTCGGCGGACGGCGTTGGATGTGGGGTGCGGGAAGCTTGAGGGTGAGCACGCCGAGCATGCCTGCTGCGCCTTCGCAGTGGATGCGAGGGTGTGCGTGCTCGGGTCTCGGCGGAGGGGTGCGGAGGTGTGGACGTCTCTGCCTGGGATGCGACGTGCCGCGCAGGGTGCCATCCCTTGAGCCGGATTTGATGGTTCGAGCACTGCTGTCGCGCTGCGCGGTTCCGAAGATCGCGGGGTGAGGAGCTGCGGCGTAATGCAAGCCTGGACCAGTATTCGCCGTTTGATCGTTGTGTCCCCGGTTGGCTCGTCGCACGAGGCTCCCGAGGCCTGTTGTACGTTCCGCGAGGCATCTGGGATAGTGGTGAGGGGCGCATCTTTGGCTACCTTCGGTGCTAAGTGGCAGGTGCGAGGTGCGCGGTTTCCCATTTTATTGCTGCCGAGCGCGGGAGCAGTAGGAGTTTGCAGCACAGGGACATGAAGGACGAGAGGAAGATGAATGCTCAGAAGGAGGAGCGCACCGAAACGCAGGGGCAGATTGGCACGACAAGAGAAACGGAGAACCAAACTCTGCGACTGGATAAGGTGCACCAGCAGAAGTGAAGGGGCCCTGGGCACAAATAACACGATTCCCCATACTTTCCCATATTTTCTGGGTTTTTGTCTTCCCCCCCACTGCCCATATTTTCCCATATTCTCCTGGGAGTCGACGATTCAGTATTGTGTCTGTGTGTTTCTTTCTCTCCTGAACGAGGTCGCGGGCGTTGGTGGAGCGCTGCGGGCTCGACTTCGACTGGGCGATCGCCTTCGTCCAATGGGTGCTCGCTCAGCCGCGCATCGCCACCGTGCGGGTCGGAGGCATCTTGAATTGATGGGCCTGTTTTCCACCACCACCACCATAAGTTGGAGAGGGAGGTAGTCCTCCTCCTCCTCCACCTCCTCCTCTTCGCCCTCCTCCCCTTCCCCCCTCCAACTTCTGGTGGTGGTGGTGGAAAACAGGCCCATCATGAATGCCGCAGGGGGGTCCATTGGAATGGCGGAGGCGTCTTGGGCCTAGGAGGGGTTTCCTGGGGACTCTTGGGGGTCTTCCTGGCTTCTGGTGGCGTCTGGGAGACTCGCTGGCCGTCTCGGGGGCCAGATGAGAGGGGGCCACATGTCGCGGGGGCTCCCCAGCCACCACCGTGTCAATGTTGAGCCGCACTGTCTATGCCTCGCTTTCCTGGGGCGTTGCTGAGTTCCTGATCGTTAACATGTGCCATGTGTGCGGAGCTACACTGTCAATGCCGCGCTTTCCTGTGGCTTTGCTGTGTTCCTGCTCGCAACGCGCACCGCCAGAGGCGGCGGAGAGCTTGAGAGATCCACCTACCAAAAGTGTCAGATCGGGTTCGCTTGTAGGCGGTCTTGAGGTCTATTGGGCAGCTCTTAGGCCGCCTTGGGGCCCTCTTGAGGGCGCCTTGGGCTTGGAGGCCCGCAGAAGCGAACACCCAAGAAATCCGCAAAACGAACTAGGGCGTCTGGGCTGTGGTGGGGCGCTCTTGGGCCGCTCTCTGGGTCAATCTTGGAGCTCTCCCCAGCATCTGGGCGCCCACCCAAGTGGAGCCGCCCGAGCATCGCAGTCCGGGGACGGGACGTTTGTCGGGTCGGGCGAAAGGGGGGGATAGCAAAGGGGGGGTTTGAGAATCAGCTCACGTAGCTGATTTTCCCGGCGCCTCCCGGCGCCGGAGGCGACTATGTATCGAGGAATGGGCCCCTCGGTGAGGCCGAAACCAGCTGCATGCAGCAAATTTCGTAACCCCCCCCTTTCCCAATCCCCCCCTTTCGCCCGGCCCGAGTTTGGCACCGCATGGGCACTCCTGGCACTCACGTTGCCCGGTATCCTGACATAGATGGCGTTGGGCTCCAGCTTCGCGCCCCGTATCTCGCCGAGCAGCGCCAGGGCCCGCTGCCACTGCTCGCCCTTCTCGCACGCGCTGATCCCAGCGCTGTAGCCGATAACGTCGGGCTGCAGCTTCGCCTCCCGCATCTCGCCGAGCAGCGCCAGGGCCCGCTGCCACTGCTCGCCCTTCTCGCACGCGCTGATCCCAGCGTTGTAGGAGACTAGGGCTGACCCGTGGACTCCGTCCACTTGCGGGGTGGAGGGAGTACTGCTGGAAGGCGCACCTGATGACGTTGGGCTCCTTGTTCGCCTGGCCAACGACGCTTGTCATGAGGACCCTCTCGAAACGCTCTCGGAGGCTTCATGGCCGCCGCTTGTTGTGCTGAGTGTTGCCTGCTGCTACTCGCTGCTGTTTGCTTTGTCGTTCTTCTGCTGCCGCCTGCGGTTTGACTGGTGTGGGCTGCTGCTTGCTACGGCTTGGTGCTGCTGCTAGCTTTTTGCCTGGTGCTGGATGTTGCTGCATGCTGCATGATGCTGAATGACGCTTGCGTTGTCAACGCGTGCTGCTGATGATGCACGGCTCTTTAGTGTCTGCGAAATGCCTGTCGCCTCTCGTCCGCTCCCACCCTCCTGGAGGCAATTCTGAAACCACTTAGGGCCTCGTGGGGGCCGTTTCGGAGCCACTTGGGGTCTTCTGGGCCTCCCGGGGAGGCTCTTAGGGCCCTCTTGGGCCGTCTTGGGTGCCTCTTGGGCCGTCTTGGGGCCAGCTGAGGCCGGCTTGGGCGCCTCTTGGGCTGTCCTGGGCCGTCTCGGGCCGCTCTTGGGGCCGTCTTGGGTGCCTCTTGAGCCGTCTTGGGCGCCTCCTGGGCCGTGCTGGGGCCGTCTTGCGGAGTCGTGGGGCCGTCTTGGGGCCCTCTTGGCCCGTTTCGGGCTCTCTTGGGGCCCTCTTCGGCCGTCTTGGAGCTGTCTGGGGGGCCTCTGGGACCGTCTTGGAGCGTCGGGAAGCCGAAAAGGCGAGGAGGCCGAAAACATCGAAAAACATAATGGAAATCATCGATTTTTACCACTCGGGACCCTCTCTTGGGGCATCTTGGAGACCTCCGGAGCCGTCTTGGGCCAATCTTGAGCGTCTTGGGCTCATTTTTGGGCGTGCCGGGGCCCTCTGGGGCCATCTTGAAGGTCTCTTGAGGCCTTCCTTGGCGCGTCTTGGAGCGTCTCGGAGCGCGCCGGGGCCTGCTGGGGCCCGTCTTGGGGCCCTCTTGGCCCGTCTTGGGGCTCTCTTGGGGCCCTCTTCGGCTGTCTTGGAGCGGTCTGGGGGACCTCTGGGACCGTCTTGGAGCGTCGGGAAGCCGAAAAGGCGAGAAGGCCGAAAACATAGAAAAACACAATGGAAATCATAGATTTTTGCCACTCGGGGCCCTGTTGGGAGGCCTCTTGGGAAGCCTCTTGGGGCGTCTTGGAGACCTCTGGAGCCGTCTTGGGCCAATCTTGAGCGTCTTGGGCTCATTTTTGGGCGTGCCGGGGCCCTCTGGGGCCATCTTGAAGGTCTCTTGGGGCCTTCCTTGGCTCGTCTTGGAGCGTCTCGGAGCGCGCCGGGGCCTGCTGGGGCCCGTCTTGGGGCCCTCTTGGCCCGTCTTGACGCTCTCCTGGGGGCCTCTTCGGCTGTCTTGGAGCGGTCTTGGGGACCTCTGGGGCCGTCTTGGAGCCTCGGGAAGCCGAAAAGGCGAGAAGGCCAAAAACATAGAAAAACACAATGGAAATCCACGATCTCTGCCACTCGGGACCCTCTTAGGAGGCCTCTTGGGAGGCTTCTTGGGCCGTCTTGGAGGTCTCTGGAGCCGTCTTGGGCCAATCTCGAGCGTCTAAGCCCATCTTTGGGCGTGCCGGGGCCCTCTGGGGCCGTCTTGGTGGCCTCTCTGGGCCCTTTTGGCGTGTCTTGGGGCCTCCCGAGGCGGCCCGGGGCGGCCCAGGGCCAGCCTGGGGCCGTAAAGGGACGATTTTGTGCACTTGAGTGCCTGACTTTCTCGCACGCGCTTCCACCCGCCATATAGGAGAGACACCAGGGCGAACCCGTGGACTTCGCCCACGACCAGCAAGTCCCCCTGGCGCGCCTCCACGTTGGGCCCCCGCCCAGGAAAAAGTCACCCCGAAGCCTTCGGTGATTTTTTCCGGCCGCCTTTCCGAAGTCGCTTCCTCCTCTCCGTCCGCCTTCCGCTCCACGTCCGCCTGGACAGCCTTCGGAGCATCACAGACGGCTATGGTAGGTCTGCGGTGTGCCTCTCGCCGCTTGTCTGCTCCCCCTGGTTTGAACAATTTTGAAAGCACCAGGGGCCGAGAAAAAAATCAGCTGGAAGGCTCTGGTGACTTTTTTCCGGTTGACTTTTCGAAGCCTGATGGCGGGCGCAGCCTTCTCCTTGGGAACTGTTTGGGGGCCTCTCGGGGTTTCTTTTCGGCATCCTAGGGGCCTCTTGGGGCCCTCTGGGGCCATCTTGCGGCCTCCTGGGGTCCTCCTGGGGTCTTCTTGGGCCGTCTTGTATGCCTCTCGGGGCTGTCTGGGGCCGTCTTGGGCGCCTGTGGGGCCGTCTTGGGACCGTCTTGAGGCCCTCTTGGGCGCTCTTTGGCCGCTCTTGGGGCTTTCTTGGGTGCTTCTTGGGCTGTCATGGGCGCCACAGGAGCCGTCCAGGGGCCGTCTGGGGCCGTCGTGGAGGCCTGCTGGGACCCTCCTGGAGGACAAAACACGGGAAGTACGAAAATGCACGTTTTCTGGTAGCCCATATGGAGCGTTTTGGGGGCCTCTTGGAGAGCGATCTTGAGCGTCTCCGAGCGCTCTGGGACCGTCTCGGAAGCCCTCTTGAAGCGTCCTGGGACGTCTTGGGGCTCTGTTGATAGGGGGCAAACAAACCTACCTCGCTTTTGACCACCCTCGCTTCCAAGAGATACCAAGCGATGCCAAGCGACGGCCTGTACTGGTCAGGCCACTTGACGGGGAGGCGTGGTATGACTTGGTTTTGCCTGGAAGCGAAAGTGGGGTAGGAAATTCACGCTCTGAGTTGGGGGCCTCCCGGGGCGTCTCGGAGCGCTCCTGGGCCATCTTGGAAGCGCACCGGGGCCTCGCCAGGGCCTCGCCAGCGCCGCCGGGGCGCCGAGCCATCGCATCGGACGCCCGCCCTCTTGGCATGCACTAGTCCCTGCAATGCATAAAACGACGCGAAGATCGGGACAACATCGGATCGGGATAACTCGAAATCTCTGAGAATCGGCGGGTTTGGAGGATGTGTTGGGCGCCGCGGCCGCTCTGAGAGCGCTCCGGAACGCTCTGAGAGCGCTCCGGAACGCTCTGGAGCGATTTCTCCTGATCCTAGCCCGGTTTAATGCAGTAGAGACTAGGGCTGACGCGTGGACTACCTCCACTAGCGGGGGGAACAGGTGGTGCCGCCACGCCCAGAAATCCGACGTCGTGACTTGTTCAATACGCTGTCCCCCGAAGTCTCGACCCATTCCCCAGGACCGGTTTTTCATCCTGAATCGTTGTTTGATGGTCCCGGGGCCCGGCGAGGGCCCCTAGAGGCCGAAAATTTAGAAAAACCTCCGTCTTGATTTTTTCAATACGTTGGATCTCTGGGGCTGGCGCACTCGATGAGATTTGGCCCCTGCTCGTTTTCCACACCTCGCCGAGCAGCAGGAGCACCGGGTGGCGCTGCACTGCTCGATCCGTTGTCGCCGCCTGCCGCCGCCGTCGCCGCAGCCAGCGCTGCCGTGGCCGCGTCTGCCGCCGTCCCCGTCGCCGCCGCCGCGCCGTGAGCCGCCAACCTCGGGCGTCTGCGAGGGAGCGGGGAGGCGCTTTGGCGGCGCGCACAAGGGCGTGGAGGGAGTGGGGAGGTCTTCTTAGAAGGAAGCTGTTTCTTAGAAGGCGGTGGCCTTACATCTATAGATAAGGCCCGCGCCCTCTGAGAAGCAGGGGTGCTTCTAAGAAGCCCTCCCCCCTCCCCCAACCCCCTCTGCGCGGGGCGGAACGCTGTTGCTGGTGCTGCTGGTGGTCACGCGCCAAGTGTCCTAGAAGCTCCGGGTCGACGCTCGCCGCTGCCGGGAGGGCGAGATCGACCGCGGGGGCGGCATGTTTCTGGTGCGGCGAGGAAGTTCCTGAAGGAGTCTCAAGTGATTCGTAAACATTGCATTTATTTTGTGGCACGTCGTCCTATGCGGCGGCCCGCGGCTGTGACCGCTTGGCCGGCCGCCAGGATGTGGGTCGAGCTGGCTCGTCTGGCTAGCCTGACTCGCTCGTTGTCGCTTTGGACGCCCGAAATGGGTACGGAAAAATGCGTGCAATGCCCAACAACAGATGTTGTCCCAAACCAACAGCGGCCGCTGCTGGGCAGGCGGCCTTCTGTCTCAAATGGACACAGGCCGCGGCGGCGCGGGCAGCGAGTCCTGTTCAAAATGAACAGGAACTGCTGTTGGGCATCGTACCCATTCTTTCAGTGCCCATCTCGTGCGTGCAGATCCCACGCTGCCACCAATGCTGGGCTCTGTACCGGTAACGCGGGCCTCCCACGCTGCCACCAACTAGGGGGCCACATGCGAACCCTACCCCCTAGCCCCCACGACTTCTGAGGGGGAGGGTGGGGTTCACTTCGCTCGGGAGCTCTCGAGCAAAGTGAACCCCACCCCCTCCTCCTCCTCCTCCTCCTCCTCCTCCTCCTCCTCCTCCTCCTCCTCCTCCTCCTCTCCTCCTCCTCCTCCTCCTCCTCCTCCTCTCCTCCTCCTCCTCCTCCCTCCTCCTCCCTCCTCCTCCTCCTCCTCCTCCTCCTCCTCCTCCTCCTCCCTCCTCCTCCTCCTCCTCCTCCTCCTCCTCCTGCTCCTCCTCCTCCTCCTCCTCCTCCTCCTCGTGGGGGGTAGGGGTCGGGTTCGCCTCTGGCCCCCCAGCGGCGGCCCTCCCCCTCAGACGTCGTGGGGGGTAGGGGTAGGGTTCGCATGCGGCCCCCTAGCCGACGCGGGCGGCGTGGTGAGTCGTGTCCGCGGCCAGCGTGCCGGCAGCCTCGGCGCCCGCCTCCGGGGCCGCAGGCGTCGTGTGGGCACAGGTCCGCGGCGTGCGGGGGCCGCAGCGCCCGAGCCGGGGGCCGCGGGCAAGAGTTAGGTCGGGCGTGTCCCCCTACAGGGGGGACTCTCCACGAAAAGTAAAACATATTCTATTATAGCGAATGCTCCAGAATGGTCAAATAAT